CTGGTGATATATGATGCATTCAGTTACATAAAGATGTTCATCTACTGATTGATTCGATGTATTCACTCAAAAGACAATTGCTGAGCGCGCAGCACATGCCGGGGGCTCGGCTGGGGCCTGGCCCCCCCACCCACGGCCTCTGTCTCCACAGTGTCAGGTGCCCACGGCCCACCGCGGCCCAGCACGTCACAACCCTCAGTGGCCTGCCGTTCTGCTGGGCGTGATGGAACCTCGCGCTGTCGGTCCCACGGTGCCCCCGCCCAGGCCGTCACCGGCTCAGCCCTTCGTCCCCTGTCTCTGCTCTGCAGCCCCTGTCCGCCCGTCAGTCACTCTGCAGCCCCCGGGGCAATTGGGTGAACCGCCAGCCCCAGCGCCACAGTGCTCGCGTTATAAAGTCGCCCTGAGTTTACTTCGTAATGGCCCCCGAGTGCAAGCCCAGCATGACCGGCAAGTCGGACGTGCCAGAGGGAAGCCGGGAAGGGCTTCCTTTAGGAGAAAAAGTGAGTCCAGGACAGTAAGAGATTGACTGAGAGAGACCAACCACACTCACATCACTCTGACTACAGTGTATTGTTATAACTGTTCTACTGTATTATTAGTTTCTGCTGCTAACCATGTGCTGTGCCTGGTTTATAAAGCAAACTGCATCATACGTAGAATGCATAGGGAAACGCAGAGCATGTGTACAGGGTTCAATACGACCCGCGGTTCCAGGCATCTACTGAGGGAGGGGTCCTGAATCGTGTCCCCCGTGGGTAGGGGTGGGGGACTGCCAAGTCCAGCTCTCTGGTGAGGGCTCCCTCAGCACACGGCCAGGGCCCCTCTCTGGGGCTCAGTGCCCTTATCGGCAGAAGCAGGAGGTGGGACTGGGTGATGCCAAAGTCTCTGCGGCAGTTAAGCTCTGCGAGGTGGAAACGGGGCTGGGAGCCAGCCAGGCCGGAGGGCATCCTCCGGTGGGTGTGAGGCTGTAACTCAGCGACAGTCCCGTCAGTGCCATCGACCTCTTCGTGCGCGTGCCGTTTGGAGCCGCAGACCATCCTGCTGGGCCCGGGGGGGCTGCTGGAGACCCCAGGCTCTCAGCACAGAACCCCGGAGCCCCAGGCGCACCGGGTGGGCGGTCGGTCTCCTGACTTCCGTGTCAAATGACCGGACATCTATAAATGCTGAAATAATGTGAAGGACAGAATCCTCAGCCAAACCCTTTTTTGTGCCGGGACGATTCTGAATGCAGCACAGAACCAGAAGAACGGAACGTCTGTGTAAACGTACGTGTAAACTATGGAGCAAACGCACCCACGCGTCACGCACGCTCAGAAGGACACGTGCGGGGTGAGAGCGCCCACAGATCACCTGCAGCGTCACCCTCCCCTAAGAGCTCAGCGCCGGTTGCTTTGAAACCGTACCATGAATTCAAAGTCTGGGAGGAACACTGGCGGCCAGCACCCTCTTAATATTTCCGTTAGAGAGAGACATATGCCTTGCTTTTTTTAAACGTGGTTTTAAACGGCAATATTATAATTTTGTTCTCAAGGTGCAGCTGTTCCTGTAAAGACTGTTCTAACACGAGCGCCCTGAAAAGTTTCTGTTTTCTTTTCTCCCCTTCACTCGCCGCACAGGCGGTGCAAGTAGGCGAATACCAGCTCTGACGTTGCTTTAGACCGCGGCTGAAGAACCTCAAGGGGGTGGTGGCCACCAGGCGCTGGGGGGGACCACGGCGTCCCCGTGTGGCCAGCTCTGGGGCGAGAGTCTCCCTTGTCATCAGGGCACCCCACTTTCCTGGGACCCCTCGGACCCTCCTACCCGCTTCCACTCTCCTCCAAAGCCCCCACCGTCTCCCACGGGGACCAAAACAAACAACGGTGAACGTGAGGTCCTTCCCAGCGAGCACAGTCAGGACCCCGGCACCAGCTGGCTGAGCTCCCTGGGAGTGATCCGGAGAGACTTGAGGATTCTGAAACAGACACCAGGGAGTTTGGGTGAGTTCCGGGACCCTAGACTGACTGTTTCCCCTTCACTCATCCCAGTGACAAAGTGCTTCCGAAAGTGGCAGCTCACAGAATAATCCTGAAACGCCTTTGCAGAGGTACAACATGGCAGTCCCTGAAATCTGGGACCAATGTACCATTTAGGCAGCTCCTTCTGGTTCCAATACGGATTTTCAGACTCCTTGGTAAAGCCCAAGCGTGCGTGCGTGCGTGCATCCACCTGTGACCCATAGCAACCCTTCCAGGGCAGAGCCCCGCCCCTCCCACAAAGCCCCGCCCACCCATGACCACACCCACCTCTGCCGGCGGCCCTCTTTCTAATGACACGCTCCTCTATCCAGAGCCAGATAAACGCAGCGATGGCACAGAAACAGGCAGAGCTTCCGTTCTCACCCTCACCTTGTGGGGGGGAGAGAAATCAGTGTGAAGAGAAGGTAGGCTGGCTTCCCAGTAAAGGGACAGTGGGGGGACCGCCTGTGCCGCCCACGGGCGCTGCCGAGGCCTGTGAGGTATGACGTCACCCGCCCGTTCTGCGAAGTCACCGTCCCCCTGTCTGCCCTTCACGTCTCGCTCCAGCCTCTCCACCTGGCTAATGAGGGCAAGCGCTCGCATCTGTCAAGTGCTTCCTACACGCCAAGCAACACGACGTCTGGCCAGGGTGCGGCCACAGCTCTGTCCTAGCCGACCCCGCGGAGGACACACCACAGTGACTGAGGGCCGGAGCCCGTTAACGCGCCGGGAACCAAAGCGGGGGGAGCTGTGCAGACCGAGCAGTGAGCACGAGCCGGCTAGTGCGTGTCCCAAACACCCCGCCCGCCCGCGGGTGGTGACCGCGTGCATGCAGAGGGGTCCGGGTGCCGGTGAGAGACCCGCGTGGGGGCACACGGTACAGTCCGTGATGGACAGCCACGTGTGCCTGCTGGCGGGGGGGCGGGGTCCCTTCTTCTCTGGTTCTCTGCCTGGGCCTTACCCCCCCACCCCCCACCTTCCCACCTGGTGAGCAAAACAACACGAAACAAAAACTGCACTAAGTACTTTACTTGCTTCCTCTCATTAAGCGGTACAACCCCCCGGAACAGCTACTGCCGTGAACCCTACTTTATCGCCGAGGAAACAGGACCTGAAGTGGTAGGAGGACCTGCCCGGAGAGACACAGCTCACACGCCCCAGCGCTGGGGCGTACAGCAGGGCCGGCCCGGCGTCAGGGCTCAGAGACGCATCCGTTGGGAGGCCAGCTACCCCGACGGGCCAGCGCCGCTGACCCGGCTGCTGCGTCTCCGCTGGGCCTCATCCCGGTTTCCATGAAGTCTCTTCCCAAACCTGGAGACCTCACGGAGCCCGCCTCCTCCAAAGAGTAACTCCCCACCCCCATTACCTGCTCCAGCTGCCCCCCCCGACCCCCACTGCGGAGTGGGCGAGCAGGCGACACCCCGCTCCCCCAGAAAGATGGGCTGGAGAGTGTGAAGGAGACGCCCCGAGAAACCTGCCGTCCATCATTCCCCGATCAGCCGGGCTCTGGGTTTCGGCCCGGGGTCCGTCTACCTTCTCGCCAACAAGCCCAGGTGAACCCAGGTAACCAGCACTGGAGAAGGGGGCGAGGCACAGTTCTGGCCTCGACTTGCTCGGGAAGTCCTTCCATCTCATTTCTGGGCAGCCCCCCGCCCCCTCACTGCAAAGGTCGCGAAGGGCCTTCTGGGAGACAGGTCCTCCGCTCTGCCTCCCTTGCAGCCTGAAGCACGGCACCTTCCTTCCCGGGCAGGGGAGTCCAACCCTCTGGCACCTCTGGGCCACACTGGAAGAAGAGGTGTCTTGGGCCACACGTTATAAATATATTGGGACATGGAATCACACACACACACACACACACCCCAAAAAACTCATCGTGTTGTAAGTAAATTCACGATTTTGAGTTGGGCCACGTTCATAGCCAGTCCGGGCCGCAGTCCTGCCCTAGAGTCTTCCAGGACCCCCGGGGGGTCTCTCCGACAGTTTCAGGAGGATGTCAGCAGACAAACACACGGGAGCATCGAATGTGCATCAGTCACCTACGGAAGACACCAGGAAATGCCACAGGGATCCGAACACACGGTAATTGTTTGGTTGGGTGGAATTCACACTATGTCTTGAAGGAGCTCAGAGAGGACTGTGCAATGACATGTCCCTCCGAATCCCCCAGAAGTTCTACGCTGGGACACCGTGAAGAAGTGTCACCGCATTCTCTTGCCCGACGCTGTCCGGTGCTGAGAGGTCAACGGCGCTCCAGCTGGAAAGACTCTGCAGTGACAAGCCCCAGGCTCCTCTGGGGCCTGCCTCTCCGCCGGCCCCGGCCCCTTGGAAGCGGAGACTCGGGGTCCCGGGCAGTTTCCGCGGCCCGACCGTCCCCATCCCTCGCTCTCCACCCCCTCCCACTCCAAACAGAGCGCAGTCCCCACCCTCCGCTTCCCCCGAACACAACTTTCACACCCAACAAATCGGAAGCCGTAATTACAAAGTTTCAGAAAACGCATCTTAGAGCTTGGCCCTCCACGGAATCCTCCTTCCGGCGGCAAGGGCGCGGACCAGGTCCACGGCCACGCGTGTCGCGCCCAGGCACGTACACACAGCCCAGGGAGTCACCGCGCCTTTTAAAACAGGGCGGAGATGGCACGTTGCGCAGCGGTCTGGCCCCACTGTGCCTCGCGGGCCCCCCCGGCACGGGCCCTTTTTCCGGCTGCTCGCCCTTTGCCGGGAAACGGCGCAGCGCTTTGCCTCCTGGCCCAGCCACAGCCCGTGGTCCCCCAGACAAAAAGCGGCGGCCCGCTGCTCCCTGCGGGGGCGGCGCACGGGCCACGGAGCCCCGCGCAGCGCCTTTGTTGGGCCGGCCCCAGATGGTGCCCAGCACGCGGCGGAGCCGGGCGGGGGCGGGGGCCGCGGGGGCTCGGGGTGGGGGGAGGCGGCGGAGCAGCCAATCGGCGCGCGCCCGTCAGCTGACCGCCTTTGCTTACACCAGGTGCACGCCGGCTGCGCCGGGCACAAAGCGGGGCGCACCGAGGGTGCCGGCGGCGGCGGCGGCGGCGAGCGCGGAGCCAGCGAGGCCGTGCGCCCGCGCCTGGAGAGCGGCCGGCGGCCTCAGCCCGGGCGGCGGCGGCATCCCTCGGCGCCCCGGGCCCTTCCTCCCGATCCCGCTGCACGCCGCCCCGCCCTCTGCACCCCACTTCTCCTACCATCTTTGCCGATCCTGCCTGCCTCTGCCCGGTCCCCGGGCGCTGGATCGAGCCCAGGCCGGCGGCAGCTGTTGCTCGCGTGGCTGCCTCGCCTCCTGTCTTGGGGCTCTGCCGGGGCCCCGCAGGATCCGGGCGCGCTGCGAGCTGGGAGGGAGGCGCCGCTCAGCCCGACCTCCTCCGGCTCCTCCCGCCGCCGCCGCCGCTGGTCCGTGCGCGCCCCACACCCCGCCAGCCGCACCTCGGGTAAGTGCCCTCGCCCGGCCGGGCAGCGGCGGGAGGTGTGGGCTGCAGCGAGGGCAAGTCCGGGCGAACTTGGCCGCCTGGCGAGCCCAAGCGGGTCTGGGGAACCGCGCGGTGAGATCGCGGGCCTACGGGCGGCCAGGGGGCGCGGCTCCCCGAGCTGGGGAGCATGACTAAGTCGGGGAAACCGGAATCTAGTAACCCCTTTCCCACCCCCACACCCCATGGGCGTGGGGGGAGCCCCAGCTCGCGAGGAAGGCCAAGCAGAAATGGGCCAGCGGCAGCGAAAGGGGGAGAGCTGGACGCGGGGGAGGTGCCGCCTGGGGACCGGGGGCGGAGGGCTGCCAGCGGGGAGGAGGACTGGGAAGGCGCCCGGCGGGGCAGAGCGCGGCAAGGGGGCCCCCGGGGCGGTGGGAGAGAGGACCGGGAGGAGGGAAGGGGGCAAGGCCGTGGGGAGAGGAGAGAGGATGTGCTGGCGGAGGCCTTGTGGGTAAAGAAAGGACAAGGGGGGCAATTCACGGAGCACTGAGTGTGTCGGAGCCCCAGCGTCCGCACAGTCTGCCCCGCTGTGGGCGGTCCGAGTGGGGGCCAGCCCGCGCCCCACCGGTCCCCAGCTCGGCCGGCTGCCAGCGATGATGAAATGCCGGGGAAGCCGCGGTCCGCGCCCGGAGCGAGCCGTGCCGGGTTCCCCGCGCGGCCGGCCCGGCGGGGAGGGAGAAAAGTTTGCCAGCCCTCGCCCTTTGTGCTGCGTGGAGAGGGGTGTGGGCAGCAGCCACCGCCTCTGATCCCGGAGTCCCTGCCTGATGGACAGGGAAGATCCAGGGGCGTGGAAGGGGCGCCCTGCACCTGGGACAGGTGCGAAACCAGGTCCCAGGAACGTGGTGAGGGAGCTGGCCGGGGTGTGAGCCAGGAAGGGGCACGCGGCCCCCACCGGCCCCAGAGAGGACACCTTGCCTGCCGGTCGGCCGGGCGCACCGCTGCAGCCGGGCCCCAGCCAAGCACAGGACCTGGCCCTGGGCGCCCGAGTGAAGGGATGAGCCGGTGGGGGGCGGGGGAGGGGGGCGGTGGTTTGAGTAGTTGTGTTGAGGGGCTGGAACTGCTCAGGCAAAGGGCAGAAACCAGGGGAAGGGACCCGTCCCTAAACCTCAGCCACGCGAGCGTCTCCGTCCCCAGACCTGGACGGTGAAGGGAAAGTGGGATTCCGGCAGGAGTGAGCGGGTCTTGCTGACCTGGGTCTTTGCCTGCAGGGTCTTCCGAAAGACGGTGGGTTTTGTTCCTCGAGGTGCTTGGGTGGGACGCGGCCGTCCGAACCGCGAATCTGACTGGGATGTGCTGGTGACCTCCTTCTCCGGAGCGGGGACTCGGGGAGCGGGAAGTTCAGGAAGGTGCCGGGGTCAGGCTCAGTCTGGGGTGACGGTGGGGTGCTGGCTCTGGGGCCCTGTGGGTGTCCCCTGGCCTCTGATTTGCATGCAGATGTGAGCGGCTCCCGGCAGATGTGGGGCCCCTCCCTCCTCCGCGGGAGGGGCTGTGAGAGGGCGAGGAGGCGGCGCCCACAATAGACCTCCAGAAAAGGGGATAAAGACGCAGTGTGAGCGGCTCTGTCTGGGGGCACCGGGTTCCGGACACCTTCACTGGGGAGCCCGGGTCCCCGAGAGCTGCGGGCCTGAACCTCCCCGAGGCTGCGCCTGCGCCTGGCCGGGCGTCTCTGGCAACACGCGGGCGGGCCACTCAGAGCCGGTGAGGAAAGCAAGGTGGACGGTGACTTCCACCCCCTTCTGACAGTTGGAGGTGGCTTCTGAACCGACCCCTGGACTCTGAGAGTTGTTTTTCCCTTTTCCTAATGTCCCGTCCTGCTCCCATGCCCTGCCCACCCTCCGAGGCCCGCGGTGCGGGGAAGAGAGCTGTGGCTGAGCGACACGGATCGCACTGCCCAGCCGTCGGTCCGAGCGGTCTGCGCGGTTAAGGCCGCAGGGCTGTGGGCCCGCAGGGGAGCAGCCCACGGGCTCCCTAGGTGCCGGAGAGGTTCACCGGTCACGGGACAGAACAGCCAGCGATCGGGCGGGCTGCTGCAGCATGGACCCCAAGCAGGGAGACTTCTGCCCCGTCTGACCTTAGCGAGCAGACCGCGGTGTGGCTCGGCTCACCCCCTGGCGTCGTGGAGTTTCCAGACAGACAGGTGGCGGGGTGCGGGGCCCATGGGAGCCCCGGGATCACAGCCCCTGGCGAGCCCACCCAGGGGCCTCCCCTCCTGCCCGTCTCCAGCGGAAAGAACGTATTCACGGAACAGCGTTCGCCCCTGGATTCTGTATGTTCACTGAAAGGGACATTACAACACAACAACAACAACAAAAAGAGAGAATGCGTTGTTCGGAAGGCTCAGTGTCTGGGGGAGGGGTGGGCCACGGAGGGTCCTCGGCTCCCTTCCGCCCCAAGTTTCCCTGAGATCTTTCTGCCACTTCGGTGACTTTTACATGTAAAACAGCGTTTTCCCAGCAGAGGAAACACAAATCGAGTCACACTGAAGTAAGAGAGTGTCAAGGCCAAGGTTACCTCTCTGTCGGCACTGTTGAGAGATCAGAAAGTAACACACGATTACAATGAACTCCCGTGCGATGCAAGCCTAGGTTCTGGCGTCATGGAGACTTGAAGAATAACCATAAAACACGGTCGGTATCTCAAAACTAGGCTCAACGCCATTTTATTGTCAAGTTAGCACCTGGAGATTTTTTTTTAATTTAATAGGCTAATTTTTTAAGAGTTTTTATTTATTTATTTTTAGAGAGGAAGGGAGGGAGAAAGAGAGAGAGAGAGAAACATCAATGTGCAGTTGCTGGGGGCCGTGGCCTGCAACCCAGGCATGTGCCCTGACTGGGAATCGAACCTGCGATGCTTTGGTTCACAGCCCGAGCTCCATCCACTGAGCTACGCCAGCCAGGGCTTGCACCTAGAGATTTTTTTTAAACACACCTTATGACTTTTAAAATAACCCGTTTGTGAGAACAACTCTCTGGCCGAGACCCAGCCAGCGTGAAACCTTCCTTCTTTGGGGCTCGTGGGAGGGATGGGGGTGCTCAGTGCTCCGCGAACACCAGCGGTCGAGGGCGTGGTGGCCAAGGCTCACCCGGCTGACGGGAGTCTGACACCCGCTCCCGCCGCAGACTCTGGTTCCGAACAGTGACATGGGTCGTTCTGGGCCGTGTCTGGGGTCCCCCCAGAGCGAGGGGACAGCCCCCGTGGGTCCCTCGCTGGCGGGGCCTCGCGGAGGTTCTTGACCTGAACTACTGGGGAAACCGCCGTGTGCTCCACGGCTGTGACATCGGTGGGGACAGCCCGGTCGGGACTGGAGAAAACCTGCAGAATTAATGCTGCTGCTGCCCACGCCCGCTGGGTGGGGCTCCAGACCAACAGAACCCTGGGCTTGTTATCAAACCGCAAGTAAGCCGTCAGCCGTAAATAAAATGTGATGCCCTGTGGGACCTGGGTGCTGCTTTCGACCAGATTTTCATAATGTGTTTGTCATTTATTTTGAAGCGACAAAATGGTAATCCTCTGGATGACTCGCTGGAGCACCAATCTAAGGTTGCTCAAATATTGTATTTAATTTTTGAAATTGTGAATTGTTATGCCGAACATCTATTTTGGGTTAAGCCAATCTGGAGATAAAGCCTATTCCATTTTAGGAAGATATTTTGGTTTCTGGGAACAATGGAAATATCTTCAACTCATGAACAGAGCTTTGATTAATATTTTATTCAAGATGAAATTGTAATTATGTAGATGAATTCAGGAAAACATGTATTGTCTTTTTCTTTTTCTTTTTCTTTTTTTTTTTTTTTTGGCTCAAAGCGCAGAACAGAGAGGAAAGATAACCCTTTCTGTAAAACTCAGCGCTTTGGTGGCCAAGGGAGCCGTTCTCTCCACGAGTCTTCTTAACTGCAGTCGCTTTGTGAACGCTCTTGCTTTTACATGTATCCCTCACCCGCCCGGTGTGACGCGGGACAGGGCGTGGCCCCCGAGCCTCAACACACAGGCAAACGCACAACAGACGGTTCGCCATCGTAGCACAGAATACAGTCCCAGACTTCACGGCTGCCCGGTGGAGCCGCGCACTCTGTTTGCAGTGGACCTACAGTGTTTTTTGAAAGGACCAGGACACAGGCTTCCGCGTCCTACTTTCCACTTTCTGAGTATTTTTGCGTGGTCTACCAAAGGTGGGCGGTTATCAGCGCGTTCATCCGTCCCTGGGGGGGTGGGTACGCCGGCTGTCCCCGAGTCACAGCAAGGCGACCTTGGGTCACTCTCCTAACCCCGCCGGCGTCCTCACTCCTACCTCGACAGGGCTGGCGGCGTGGGCGGGGAGAACTCGCCACCGGAGTCGGGGAGGTTCCCTGGAGTGCGTGGCAGCTGCGCCCCCCAGACCACGGCCCACCCACACGGTGAACTTGAACGGAGCCCTCGCCCTTCAAACCCCAACAGTCACCCCCGAGAGGCAGAGAGACGGGGCCCCGACTAGCAGTGATGAGCACCAGAGGCCCGGGGCCTCCATCCAGGGCGAGTCCTGCGCGGACTGAGGACACTCGGTGCTGGTCCCCGAGGGCTAAACGCCGCTCCCCGGTCAGTCCTTGGCCCGCAGGGGTCGGGGCGTCACTGGAGAGCTCTGGGGGAGTTGGATGAGAGGTAGTCTTCCGGCCCGGGCCATCCCCACTGCTGTCCATTCTAACCCGGACAGACAGGCGGACTCCACAGCTGTCCCCTCGCTTGTGAACGAAACACACACATCGGGGACATTTGCGGGTTACCATGGTGACGTGAACACTGTACACGCGACTCCCCATCTTTCTGTGTGAAAGGTTTCGGTGGCAGATACCTTGTAGACCCAGCAGTAGAGGACAGGACAACTAGTTAAGGGGGAAACTGAAGTTCGTTAAGGACGACTAGTTACAGTTCGAAGGAAACATGAATTAATCAGCTGTTTTCTGGGTCCCCGCCCCCCGCGGCCCCTC